AGTGACCCAGACACAACACGTGCACCTCGCAATGACTTTTACTAGACTGTTTACTTTTATTTGTCCCGTTTCATAACCCGCAGCTACTCCGGCCCGTTGGGGAGAGCAGCTGAAAAATTTTAAAAAAGAAAAAAAAAAAATAACAAAATCCTCAACCCAACAAATTGAAAAAAAGAACAAAAAACCCACCAAAAAAACCACCCCAGCCAACAAACAAGCCCCCCAAAACCCACCCTCCCCCAAAACAACCCCTCAAAACGAAACAGAAAACCCGATCAAAGCAGGACAAGGCAGTTTTCGGAGGTATTTATTCCATATGTAGAGCAGAAGGAGCACTGCCGGCACGTGACAGAGGCTTGAAAAGGATGTGCATTTAAAAGGGAATAAAAAGAAAATCGCGCTTGCAAATTCCTTCCTCCTCCCCCTGCCCTCTCCTCCTCACCGTGGCTGCACAGCAGCATTGTTTTAGTGCCGCACAGAGTTTCAGTCTCAGCCCATTTTGCAATCTGCACGAATTGGGAACGTTTGCTGTTAGAAAAGTCTTTCGAAATCCCCACATTTTGCTGCTTCTATTAACAAATGTCTTTCCTTCAGTAAAATAAATCGGCATAGCTCCCAAAAAGTGAGCAAAGTACATAAAATACAAGGGCACGTAAGAGTAGGAGGTCCCTACAGAGTTTTAAAAATCGATCAAGCTGGAAAAGTTGTGGGTGCCGTCTCTCCCGCACGCATTTCAGAGGAAAGTACACTGACCTTAAAGGGATTTTTTTTTTTTTTTTTTACTAGTATCCCTGTTATTAGTGGAGTCAAGCCAAGAACATTAGTCCAAGCAACTCCCCTTTTTTTAGCTGGAGAGTTTTGGTTGGGATGAGTCTCTCGTGAATAACCAATGTGACTTCTCCAGCAACTCAATACCAATTGATTCTGGTGCTAATCCAGCCAGGGCTCGATCCTGCCTCCTTACTCCGATGGGAATGTACCGCAGCGAGGGGTCAGGATCGGCCAGACGGGATGTCGCTGGGCGCGGGGGAAGATCCCCCTTCATTCCCCTCCACCCCCCCGCGCTAAAAATCATTGCACAAACAACGCCTCTGAAAAAAAAAAAAAAAGTTTTACGTCTCACTGTTGCCCACATTAGGTGAATTTACGCTCTAGTGGGGGAGAAAAGGAAGAAAAATAACATAAAACAAGCAATGGTAAGATATCCAGGTTGTGGTTGGAGCACGGTCAAGATATGGGAAAAAAGCCCCCAAACTAAAAATCATTATTCTCTTGTGTCGAAAGAGGGCTCTTAAGAGTTGTCAAAAAGCAGGTTCGGGTTTGTTTTGTTCGCAAGGAAAAAGAAAAAAGCAGCAAAACCCCCAAACCAACTTATTTAAGCCTACTCTTCAGTGCAGGGGAATTTACAACACTAACATTTACTCACACACACACAC